CAGACCGGCACAACCTACTGCGACCAGAGACAGTGGAGGCGCTGCTTTATATGCACCGGGTCACTGGGAACCCACGGTATGTAACCTGGTTACTGGAAGCCTGCTGGTGCCCCAAATGGTGGAGGCAGGTCGAGGTGTGTCTGGGTAACCATGGCGCTTGTGTGTGAGAGAGAGACTCGTCACTCGACGCAATGGAGGCGCTTCTGTGCATGCACCAAGTCACTGGGAGTAGGGTAGGGTATGTTCTTTGAGTTTGAGTCGCATCGCTTATGGCGTATCTTGGGGTTTAATATGATCCACACCCTGCCATTCTGCATGGGTAACCTTCTCATGTTATCGCATCACCATTTTGTTGTTTTTTTGTCACATGAACTGCAGGTATCGCGAGGTGGGGTGGAAGATGTTCCAAGCATTTGAAAAGCATACACGTGTGGCAACAGGCGGATACACTTCGCTCGACGATGTCTCTCGGGTGCCCCCGCCCAAGCGCAACAAGATGGAAACGTTTTTCCTCGGGGAAACCCTCAAGTATTTCTACCTCCTATTTGGGGAGAACGACGTTCTTCCATTTGACAAATACGTTTTCAACACAGAGGCACATCCACTGCCAATTCCAAGGTCCCCGGAAAGCACGGAAACAAGACGGACGTCACAGTGAAGGTACGACTGTGGAGTTTTTGTATGCAATAAATGTTTGTAGACCGATTGATCCTTTAATCCATAGGCTGAATCTGATTTGTTGTGCTTCATTGTTAGAAGCATTGTATTCATGCTTAATGAACAATGAAAAGTTCCGTCTGAAATAGTGTTCGGCAGTTCGGCTTGTCTCCACTGAAATCGAAGGAGCTAACATCGAGAAATTGACAACTCAGGTGCCAACTCTTTCATTCAGCTGACCAAGAAAGCACATTTCTCCAGCATTCCATCTCGCATTTGCTCCATAATCAAGTATTTCCCGAATCCTTATATGTTCCGAGTTCTGCTTTGTCCGTGTGATTCCAGTACGCATGGCCGGCGTATTTGGGGTAAGCGGTCGTGACGATTCGTTACGGGCGTTTCGCGACCACATATCGCAGCGCATTTTCGCGCTTGGCGAGCATTCGCGAAATGTATACGAACAGATCCGGCGTCTGAAGAGCACAATTCGCGAAAGTCGTAAGCTCCCAGCAAACAAAACCGAAACGAGTAGGGTCACCGCGGGAAATGGCAGCAGCGGGAATGTCGGGAGCGGTGGTGACGGCGCTCCTTCCGCTTCGCTCTCCGCGCGAGGCGTGATTGTCCAGCGATTCGTCAGCACGGGAGATCCTATGAGCGGCTGCCAGCTGGCGTGGTCGCTGCGCGCCGATTCTCTGCGCTCCGGCGGGGCGGGGGAAGCGGAGAGGCGCGGGGAGGGGGAGGGGAGGGGGAAGGAGAACGTGGATAGGGAGTGGAAGGATGAGAGAGAAGCGCAAGGAATGGCGGAAGGTGGTGTCGTGGCGACCAAGGTACTTACATAATTAATTCATCAATGCCCTCAATGCATCACTTAATCCCCTCCCTTACATCAATGCCCTTCTTTAAAAGGGTTTTTTCTTGGATCCTGCTTCTGTTCATCTCTCGCCGTCCTTCAGGTGCTGTCTCTCACGAGATTCTTCCCTCCTCTCCTCTCCACTCGTCTCCTCCTCTGTCTCACCACCATCAGGTCGAAGGGCACCTGTTGACTTCAGGACGAAGTAGGCTTCAGGACGAAGTAGACTTCAGGACGAAGTAGGCTTCAGGACGAAGTAGACTTCAGGACGAAGTAGACTTCAGGACGAAGTAGACTTCAGGACGAAGTTTACTTTTGAGTCGACTCCAAAGTCAACTCTCCTCTCCTCTCCTCTCCTCTCCGCGCGTCTCCTCCTCTGTCTCACCACCATCAGGTAGAAGGGCACCTGTTTCAGGATGGCAGGCCTCTGTACGCGTTTAAAGGCGACTCAGCACAAGCATTGGATTCCACAATCAACGTCACTGGTGAAGTGAAGGTCCCTGGTGAAATTAAGCATATGGGAAGCGCAAATGCAGTGAACAGAGAACTAAGCTGTGTATCTTCATTATTATTGCTGTGAATGCAGGGAACGTGCTTGTAACAGATTCACAGTCAGGAGCACAATTCGCGTCAGGCCATCTTGTGAGTATGCTTTCCCTTTTCAACCCTTCTGCACTTCCACCTGCTACTTTGTCAACCTCACACAGATCTAAAATGCCTCTCAGTATTCCAGTACCATACTACCCAATCCTATCCTCCCTCTTCCTCCCTTTTTACCTCCCCCTTTCCCATTCCCTTCCCCGCACACGCAGAGTTGGGATGGCCCTGAATCCCGCCTTTTGCTCACAGACTCTGTCAGCTGCAGCCTTCCTGGAACCTTCCACGTGACTCTGTCTCGTGTCACCATCACTCGAGCGTCCCTTGCTCTCGCTCAGTCTGATTCCTCTCAACCAGACTCCAGCCCAACAGGAGCAGGTGCAGGTGCAGCAGGAGCAGCAGAGTCGCAGGTCTCATGTGAAAAGGAGTTGGATGATTCGAGAGTGCGGGCAAGTGAAACAATGAGCAGCTTGGTGAGAGATGAGAGGAGTGATAGGAGAGACAGGAGAGATGAGTTTCGGCATGACGAAGGGGAATTGCAGAAGCAACAATATGGGCCAGCTTTCCAGCAGGAGCAGCAAGAGCAAGTTGTGACTCATCAAGAGCAGCAGCCAAGCGCAGCACCCTGGTGGCTGACTGCTGATGCTTGCGTGGTGGCACAGGGCCCTGTCAAAGGCTGGGTCAGCCTGCCATCCTCGTTAGTTTCTGGCTCGTTAAGAGGTATCTCGAGGCTGATCAAGGATGCTGAAAGTAGTCAACGGCAGCAGCAGGGGGCGGTAGGGCATGGCCGGCATGGGTTGGCAGGTAGTGGTGGAGGTTTGAAGCGGAGGGATGGGGGGAAGAGTGGGAAAGGGAACGAGAGTGCTTGGACAGGAGTGGAGTGTGCAGGAGGATTCGAGTGGAATGTGCCACGTGGAGAAATCTCATTGGTTGGGCCGATCTCAGCATCATGCCCGAGTATGGACGGGCAGGTGAGAGCAGGGGGAGGTGTTATCTGGCTGCAGCGATCTGAAGCTCTCCTGCATTCTGAAGTTCAGGTTGACTTGCACAGAACCCACCTGACAGCTCCACGAATCAGGTGGCGACACCTAGCAGAGCAGGGTAGCAGTCCCCCTGCCACTTCTTCGCACTCGTCATCCTCATTATTGTCGTCTTCGGCATCGTCTAAAAGAGGTTATGTTTCAGCAGCTTCAGTGTACACTGGTGTTTCTTCTACCCGGGGCAGCACAAGAGGCATTCAGAAATCTTTGCCTGCCCCTGAAAAAGTTAGGTTGTGGAAGAAGGGTGGAGAAGGATCACAAAAAGCAAAAGCTGGTGAAGGGGTGTCTGGAGCGGAAGGGTGGGTGGTTGAGGCTGAAGGGGGAACTAAGTTTTGGTCAGATGATAAAGGAGCTAAAAGAGGGGGTAAGAGATTATAGTAACTGAGCAGGTGCTTCATTGTGGGTGGGTTTGCTTTCACACTAAATATGATGCGGTATTGAGGCATATCCTCTTGATTTTGAGACTCCCAATTTAGCAAGTCCGTCACGTAAGCGAAACTATGGCAGTCAGCTCAGCAAGCTCAGACCTCGTCAGTTTCGCCAGATACTTTCGTCAGCCGGTATCCCGGGTTACCACTTCCTAACACACACATCTTCGCGCCCCCTGTCAACATTCTGGCTGGAAGGGGATGGCATACATCACGAGGAATGGGAGCACGCGGAAGTCCGCAGTTCGAGAGAGATTTGCACGGTAGCATGTTATTCCAGGACGGTCGAGTGCGGAAATTGTTCAGATTCCGACCTTGGGAACTACGGCCTAGCACTACCTGCGAAATTCATATGCGCCATCATCATTGGTCTGTCCACCAAGGTTCTCCTTCCTCGAGTACTTCACTCTTTGTGCTTCACCTCACCAAGACCCCGCGGTCCGCGACCTCCATAAGGCCTGGATGCGTGTTGCAGTTATGACAACAGAAGTTTAACGCATCACTATCCGAATCCACATTTTGCTGATCAGGCAAATTCATTAGGTTTTTTTTACGTAATGTCGTCATCAGCAGAAGACGCGCCTGAAGCTGGCCCGCGCTTCGAGCGTGATCGCCACGTGTTTTACTTCGTTAACTGTCTCAACGGTCTTCCCGCCGCGTACGAGTCGCAGGAGAGCAATCGGCTTACGTTGGCTTACTTCTGCATCGTCGCTCTGGATCTCATGCAAGCTCTTGACAAGGCGAGTACGCGTTGTAAGCATCAGCATTGTATGCATCTACACCGTGCGCTTATTCGAGTCACGCTGGCTTACTTCCCCATCGTCGCTCTGGATCTCCTGCAAGCTCTTGATAAGGTGTGTACGCGTTATAAGCGTTGTAACCCTGTTACAAATCCACGTACACAAATCTCCTCCAATTCCACGCTCGATTTGCTTGTCTCAGGTGGATAGACAAACGATTATCAACTGGGTGCATTCCCTCAAGGTTCTGGATCCTGAATGTACCCAGGCGAAGAAGGCTGATGGTGAAAACCCTGTAACCGTTCAGCGAACCAGACCCTTGTTTCCCTTGACCCTGAATCTAATGTCTCAGGTGGATCGCCAGAAGATTCTCAACTGGGTGCATTCCCTCAAGGTCCTGGAGGCGAAGAAGACTGGTAACCCTGTTGCAAATTCACATACACGTATTTACTTCTATCCCGTGCTTGGTTGTTTCAGGTGGATCGCCAGAAGATACTCCACTGGGTGCATTCCCTGAAGGTCCTGGACCCTGAATGTACCCAGGCGAGGAAAGCTGATGGTGGTAACCCTGTAACCCTTCAGCTAACCACACTCTATTTTTCCCTTTGACCCTTAAAATCTAATGTTTCAGGTGGATCGCCAGAAGATTCTCAACTGGGTGCATTCCCTGAAGGTCCTGGACCCTGAAATGACCCAGGCGAAAAAGGCCAATGGTGGTAACCCTGTAACGGATTCTGTTACCACCACCACTCCCCCTCTAATCGCCGAAGCCGCTGCGTCCATCTCGACGCTTTCTGTGCAACCTGACGCGGACGTGTCAACCTTATCCATGCAAGGTGGTGCTGACGTGGCTCCGAGAAACAACAGCAGCAGCAGCAGCATGGCACGGGAACCGGAAACAGCAGCAGTGTGTGGCAAAAGCAGCAATGGTCCTTTGTGCCTGGGTGCAGAGGTGCTAGGGTTTCGAGGCTCCCCTTCCATTGGCGTGGAGTACAGCACTCAAGGGGTGAGTCTCTGTGCTGCATGCCTCGGTGAGTCATTGGGTTTGCACCACTTTGTACATGTTTGCCTCCCCTTCCATTGGCGTGGAGTACAGCACTCAAGGGGTGAGTCTCTGTGCTGCATGCCTCGGTGAGTCATTGGGTTTGCACCACTTTGTACATGTTTGCCTCCCCTTGCAGCCCTTTTTACCTCTTTACACGTAATTGTGTCTCTTTTCACCTCTTTGCACCTCTTCGTACCTCTCACAGGCGCCCAAACGGTCGCCCTACGACTGCAGCCACATGACCATGACCTACACTGCCCTCGCCGTCCTCACCACCCTAGCGGAGGCTGCTCCTAGTCGCAGGGCATCAAGGATCTTGCACCTCTTTGTACCCCTCATAACACCCTTGTCATCTCCAGGCGCCCAAGCAGTCCCCCTACGACTGCAGCCACATGGCCATGACCTACACTGCCCTCGCCATCCTCGCCACCCTAACGGAGCCTGCTCCCACTCATGGCACTGCCACTGGCAGTGCCGCTGGCAATGCCGCTGGCAGCTTACCCGACGTGCGCCAACATCCTGCGGAGGAGTCATCTAGAGGGGGTGCAGGGCTGCTCGGGGAGCAGGTGGATGAGAGAAGCAGCGAGGGAGTGGGTGCAAGGGGTGAGGATGGGAACGGGGTGCTTGACAGGTGGGAGGATGGGGTGTGTGCAAGGGGCGGGGACGGAGTGGATGCCACAGCAGCTTGTAATAGAGTGGGGGAGGTGCGAGGAATGGCAAAGTCGCTGCGAGAGCTGCAGCTGCAGGATGGGAGGTAAGTTGAAGTGTTGATTGCAGCGGGTGATTGCTTTGGGCTGCTCTGGGCTGCTCTAGGTTTCCAGTTGATGCTAGCACTTCCTTTCTTCCTGGTAAATACCCCTACGAAGGCCCCCCCTGCTTCCCGTGCCGCACGCATGCCTGAACCCTTCACTTGCCACTTCAGTTCCATCTTTCAGCTTTTCACCTTCCGCGATTCCTCATTCCTCCCATCCCGCCTGACTCCGCCCACGCCGTTCTTCCCTCCCTCCAGTTTCATGCCGGTTGCATGTGGGAGTGAGTCCGACATGCGCTTCGTGTTCTGCGCTGGTGAGGGGTGGTGAGGGGTGGTGCGGGGGTGAAGGGTGGTGAGGGGTGGTGAGGGGTGGTGCGGGGGTGAAGGGTGGTGCGGGGGTGAAGGGTGGTGAGGGGTGGGAATATCGCCGTGTAGATTTATCATGGCTGGGATCCGGAAATGCTGATGTGTGGTCTGCCGTCTCTCTTTCAGCGTCCTGTCCCATCCTCCCTGGCCCATGTTGGTGATTCAGTTCAGTCAGTGAGGTTCTTGGTGCTCATTCGCACTGTCTCTCTCTCACAGCATCTTCTCCCTTGTTCTCCTCTGCCCTTCAAGGTGACTTTTGAGTCGACTCAAGGTGACTTTTGAGTCGACTAGGTGGCTTTTGAGTCGACTAGGTGACTTTTGAGTCGACTAGGTGACTTTTGAGTCGACTCAAAAGTCACCTCTCTCTCACAGCATCGTCTCCCTTGTTCTCCTCTGCCCTTCACCCTGCCTGAACCGAACAACCAACCCTGCAGCGGCCATTTCAAGCATGATTGGCGATTGGCGGGGAGTGGACATCCCCCGTGCTGTTGCCTACATTCAGAGGTCACAGGTGGGCACTGGGCACATGGTGGGGGAGTGGTGGGGATTGGTGGGGAGTAGTGGGGAGTGGTGCGTAGCATAGTGGTGCGTAGTGGGCGTGGTGATTGGCGGGGAGTGGACATCCCCCGTGCTGTTGACTACATTCAGAAGTCACAGGTGGGCACTGGGCACATGGTGGCGGAGTGGTGGGGATTGGTGGGGAGTAGTGGGGAGTGGTGCGTAGCGTAGTGGTGCGTAGTGGGCGTGGTGATTGGCGGGGAGTGGACATCCCCCGTGCTGTTGACTACATTCAGAAGTCACAGGTGGGCACTGGGCACATGGTGGCGGAGTGGTGGGGATTGGTGGGGAGTAGTGGGGAGTGGTGCGTAGCGTAGTGGTGCGTAGTGGGCGTGGTGATTGGCGGGGAGTGGACATCCCCCGTGCTGTTGACTACATTCAGAAGTCACAGGTGGGCACTGGGCACATGGTGGCGGAGTGGTGGGGATTGGTGGGGAGTAGTGGGGAGTGGTGCGTAGCGTAGTGGTGCGTAGTGGGCGTGGTGATTGGCGGGGAGTGGACATCCCCCGTACTGTGGACTACATTCAGAAGTCACAGGTGGGCACTGGGCACATGGTGGCAGAGTGGTGGGGATTGGTGGGGAATAGTGGGGAGTGGTGCGTAGTGTAGTGGTGCGTTGTGGGCGTGGTGATTGGCGGGGAGTGGACATCCCCCGTGCTGTTGCCTACATTCAGAGGTCACGAGTGGGCGTGAGCTGGGAGAGTGGGGGGAGAGGGAATGGGGGAGCGGGGGGGAGGGGCTGTTCCGGGTTGACTGCACGTTGCATGGTGATTTGAGATGTGTAACGGTTGGGATCGGGAAAACTGGGGGGGATAGGGGTGGGTGGATGAATGAATTACAAGCCTGCTAAGTCCTTATCAAGACAGTTTCTCTTAAGACCTTTTCCTTCCCGTCCATTCTCCCCACGGGCTTGCTTCCTTCCTTCTCCACCCATCTCTCTCCACCAGTCCTTCGATGGCGGGTTTGGCCTTGGCCCAGGCTTCGAAGCTCATGGTGGGTAGCTAGCTTGCGAATATTACCTTCCTTCCATATATTTTTCCTCCTTCTAGTTGACGTTGCATGTTCTGGAGGCGCCCGACGCAGATTATCTCTCTTTTGTTTGTTACTTTGTGCTTGGGAGCATATAGAATTCAAAGAGTTGGGGAGGTAAGGGGGAAACGTGGCCGAGGGGACCCTTAGTCCTGAAATTTGAGATTGCCATTAGTCATTAATACCACAGCATCAACTTCTTTATTGTGGCTCCAATGTGACCTATTTTGTGTGCAGGAGGAGCCACCTACTGTGCCGTGGCCGCCCTGCAGCTCATTGCGTCTTCAACATCAGAGCTTTTGTCTTCAGCAGCGGCAACAGCAGCAGCTTCAGCGTCATCGTTACTGTCATCATCAGGAGCAGCAGCAGCAGCAGCAGCAGCAGCAGTTTCATCGCCAGGAGCAAAAACAGCAGCGTCATCATCACTACCAACAGCATCACCAGTAACGTCATCAGGAGCATCATTAGCAGCTTCAGCAGCAGCAGCGCCATTGGCAGTGGCAGCAGAGCTATCACATTTTCCGCTGCCACTGTCGCCGCTGCTGCAATTGCTGTCAACACCCGTAGCTGGCTCACGCAGTGAGTCAAATGCAGCAGCAGGTGCACAAGAGGAGGCAGAAGCTGCAGGCGTGCAAGCAGCAGCAGAAGAGGAGACAAGCAGCTCCCTTTTCTCGTCCCCCTACGTGCTCCCATTGATCGACTGGTGCCTTCAGGTATGCTCTCATAATCACACTCTCTCCCTTTTCGGCTGTTGTTTTTTTATCGACCCTTGCTCCCAGGTCGACTCTTGCTCTCTTCTGTTTGCGTGGGGTGGTGGGTGGGCTCTGCTGGTTAAACAAATAGCACCATATTTTCCACTGTACCTTCACTGCACAACGCAACGTCACTGCATCATCTGTTCCATCATCTCCCAACCCACCCCATCCCATCCTATCCCACCCCATCCCAACCCATCCCACCCTGTCCCACCTGACGCCACCTCTTCTCCCTTGAGAGCAGAGGCAGGGAGCGGAGGGGGGTTTCCAGGGGCGGCGCAACAAGCCAGCCGACACATGCTATGCATTCTGGTGGGCTCTCCCCCTTCCTGCTGCTGCTTTTCTTTTACGTGAAGCATCAATTGACCTCCCAGCCCGTCATTAGAGTCACCTCCCAGCCCGTCATTAGAGTCACCTCCCAGCCCCTCATTAGAGTCACCTCCCAGCCTATCCCTTTCCTGGTACACCTTCTTACGTGTATCACTCTGGGTCACCTCCTGGGTGGGCGGCACACTGAGCATGCTGGGAGCGGATCCATCTCATTGACCATGTGCGGGGCACACTTGTTAATCTCTGTTCATACTGCCATTCCCCACCCACTTACGTGCCCTCCCTCCCTTCCTATCCCTCTCTCTCAGATCCCTGGGTGGGCGGCACACTGAGCATGCGGGAGCGGATCCATCTCATTGACCATGCGCGGGGCACACTTGTTAATCTCTGTTCATACTGCCATTCCCCACCCACTTACGTGCCCTCCCTCCCTTCCTATCCCTCTCTCTCAGATCCCTGGGTGGGCGGCACACTGAGCATGCGGGAGCGGATCCATCTCATTGACCATGCGCGGGGCACACTTGTTAATCTCTGTTCATACTGCCATTCCCCACCCACTTACGTGCCCTCCCTCCCTTCCTATCCCTCTCTCTCAGATCCCTGGGTGGGCGGCACACTGAGCATGCGGGAGCGGATCCATCTCATTGACCATGCTCGGAGCGGATCCTCTCATTGACCATGCTCGGAGCGGATCCTCTCATTGACCATGCTGGGGGCACACTTTCACTCTCCTCTCATATTGCTGTTCACCACCCACTCCCATCCCCTCCTTGCAACTCTCTCCCAGGGTGGGCGGCACACTGAGCATGCTGGGGGCAGATCACCTCGTTGACCGTGCGCGGGGCACACTTGTTACTCTCTGTTCATACTGCCGTTTCCCCACCCACTTTCGTGCCCTCCCTCCCTTCCTGTCCCTCTCACTTTCTCCCAGGGTGGGCGGCACACTGAGCATGCTGGGAGCAGATCACAGCCATGCTCAGGGCACACTTGTTTCTCTTTGCTCATACCGCCATTCACCGCCCACTCCCATCCCCTCTCCCTCACTTTCTCCCAGGGTGGGCGGCATACTGAGCATGCTGGGAGCAGATCACAGCCATGCTCGGGGCGCTCTTGTTACTCTTTGCTCATGCCCCCATTTACCGCCCACTCCCATGCCCTCCCTCTCTCTCACGCACACAGGGTGGGCGGCACACTGAGCATACTGACAGCAGACCACCTCATTTACCGTGCTCGGGCACACCTGTCCCACACTTGTCACTCTGTGTTCATACTCCCATTCATCACCCACTCCCATCCTGTCTCTCTCCCCGCTTCACTCTCTCTCTCTCAGGGTTGGCGGCACACTGAGCATGCTGGGAGCAGATCACCTCATTGATCGTGCCCGGGGCACACTTGTTACTCTCTGTTCATACTGCCATTTTCCCACCCACTTACGTGCCCTCCCTCCCTTCCTGTCCTTCCCTCTCACTCTCTCTCAGGGTGGGCGGCACACTGAGCATGCTGGCAGCGGACTTTTCACGCCCAGCTCATGCTGCCGTTCACCACCCACTCCCATGCCCTCCCTCCCTCTCACACACCCAGGGTGGGTGGCACTCTGAGCATGCTGGGAGCAGATCACCTCATTGACCATGCTCAAGGCGCACTTTCACTCTCCTCTCATACTGCTGTTCACCACCTCCCATCCCCTCCTTACAACTCTCTCACAGGGTGGGCAGCACACTGAGCATGCTGGGAGCAGACCACCTCATTGACTTCCCAGCCCTCCGAAGCTTCCTTTTCACCTGCCAGAACACAGTGAGTGGGTCAATCAGCAGCGAGTGAGTCGGTCAACCACCAGCGCCGCCTCTTCACTTTCTCAAAGCCTCCACTTCCTTCGCCAGTAACTGAGTGACTCATCAGTACTTGTGTCCAGTAATTATGGATGAGACGCACATGTCATACGGTACTCGTTCTCTCCCCTCCCCCCCTCTTTTGAATCCGCAGAGGTACGGGCGGTTCAGCAAGTACTTGGGGAAATTCCCGGACGTCCGACATTCCTTCGATGGGGTCTGCCGGTTCTGCCCCTCTTAACCCCCTTCCCCCCTCTGCTTTCCCTTCTCTTTGCCTTCTGCCTTCACAGCGGTATGGTGGTTTCAGCAAGCATCCAGGGGGATTCCCACACATCCTGCATTCCTTCTACGGGGTCTGCTGGTGCTGCCTCACTTTATCCTCTCCCCCCTTCCCCCCTCTCTCCCTCTCTCCCGCCCTCCCTCTCTCCTGCCTGAGGTATGGTGGGTGCAGCAGCAAGCATCCAGTGGGATTCCCTGACATCCTCCATTCCTTCTACGGGGTCTGTGGGTTCTGCTCCTCTTGATCCTCCCCTCCCTCACCCCTCCCTCTCTCCCACCACAGAGGTACGGGGGGTTCAGCAAGCATCCAGGGGGGTTCCCTGACATCCTGCATTCCTTCTACGGGGTCTGCGGGTTCTGCCTGGCTGGGGAGCCAGGCCTGCTTCCCCTGCACGTGCCTCTGGGCATTTCCAAGCGAGCGGCTGCATGCTTCAACCAGAGATAGCACTGCTGGTGATTTGATGTTGACTCAGAGATACCACTAGTGGTGGTCTAATGTTTTACTTTGAGTCGACTCAAATGCCTTCTGCCAGGCCGGGGATCCCAGCCTGCTTCCCTGCACGTGCCCCTGGTACTGTAGCATCCAAGCGAGCGGCTGTACTGTAGCACAAACCAAATTCCTGTAAGCTACCGTATGCATGCATGGTGTCCGTTTTACTCTATTAGGCCATGTTCCTACAGCCCCTTATCAGGCCAACCTCTTATCAGGCTCGCGTCACAACACACTGAAATTTCCTAAACCCAAAAACCTTCGCGAATCCTACCAGGCAAAAATGCGAAGCTGATACGAGGTGTCCCTGGTAAGGAGCCGTAGGAACATGCCCTTAGTGAATTTTATGGGGTTCCTGGCCTTTCCAGGGAACTACCCTGGTCTGTTGTCTCGCTGTGCCTAAGCTTGCATGTGGCACTGTTGGAAGTTTCGGTGGTACAGTATGGTACTGTACGGTACCGTATGGTAGGGATGCGATTTAGCTTGGCTGAATCCACTCATGGGTACCTTGGATGCTTGGCTGAATCATGTGAATTATGTAAATGATGTCAAAGTACGGTACTGTCTCCCACTACACTGTAACACTGCTGCTGCTACATACCTACTACTGGTAAACTCATGATAAGCCACCATGTGAATCTGCTCAGAAGACACATGCACCTGCTATGCTACCGTACAGCAGGCCAAGTTATATTCGTCAGGAGGAACGCCCTTGCTCCCATCCCATCTGTTCGTACAGCCTCACTGATCCCTGTGACCCTGTCTGTCCCTTCTATTGGCCCGAGGAGAATGTTTCCTCAACACTTTTGAGACGTCTCAAAAGACAGCAGGCCAAGTTACATTCGTTAGGAGGACAGCCCTTGCTCCCATCCCATCTGTTCGTACAGCCTCACTGATCCCTGTCCCTTATATTGGCCCGAGGAGAATGTTTCCTCAACACCCTCCTCCTACCTACTGGCATTCCCCCTATCTTCCCTAGCACCTCATACCCCCTGTTATTCGTTAGGAGGACCGCCCTTGCTCCCATCCCATCTGTTCGTCCAGCCTCACTGATCCGTGTGACCCTGTCCCTTCTATTGGCCCGAGGAAAAAGTTTCCTCGACACCCTCCTACCGACATTCCCTCTTATCTTCTCTAGCACCCCAATCCCCCTGTTTCTCCAGTCACTTCTATCCCTCTGTTCCCCCTATCTTCCCTACCTAGCACCCCAATCCCCCTGTTTATCCAGTCACTCCGATCCCTCTGTTCCCCCTATCTTTCGGTCGTCCCTGTTCCCCCTATCCCTCTGTCCCTGCAGTCCTTGTTATTCGCTCCTTCATGCTCCCACCTGTTCTTCCAGCCCCACAGACATCTGCCTCCTCTCAAACCTCCTTATCATTCCCCCCCTCCCCCCTCCCCCCCCCCCCCCCCCCCCTCCCTCATCTTCCCAGGCACCCCACCAATCCCCTTGTTTCCCTTGCCCCCCTATCCCTCTGTCCATGCGGTCCTCGTTATTCGCTCCTTCATGCTCCCAAGCACTTTCGACAGCTGTCGCTGCAGCGGCCGATGCTTTCTCGTTGGTCCCATCCCCATTCCCTCCCCTGAATGCGACTCTGCTGCTCCCCCCGTTACTGTCGCTCCTGCTGCTGAGGGTGCCTGAAAACCAGCCTCTTCCACAAAACCCAACTCGTTACTGTCACGGTCCGATGCTGCTCTTGCTACACTACCCATTGGTTCAACATCCGTTGCTTTATTGATTTCTACAGTATCCAATGTGCCACTATCGAAGCTTGCTGTTTGCCACCCGCTCAACAGCGACCGAATCGCCGATTCCGGCATGGACGCGACCCGCCCGCGGCTCCGCAAACTGCTGATCCCCGCAAAATTCCCCTTCTCCGCATTTGCTCCCCCAAACCTCCCGTTCGCCCCGCTCGCGCCACCACAACTCCCCTTTCCCGCGCCATTGCTGCCCCGCGCGTTGCTGCTATTGCCGCCGCTGCTGCCCCGCTGCCCTGTGCGCGGAGTCCGCGCGCTCTCGAGCGAGCACTTCCTAGGCGCCGCAACTGGCGGCGAGCCTTCATGCCACTCCCCCTCGCCGTTCCGCTGACACTCCGCCGCAAAGGAGACGCTCCTCAACTCCGCAGTGTTGAGCGCGCGCGCGCTCCCCGTTGCCGCGCGCGCACCCTCTGTTCCTACGAGCGCGCACTCCGTAGCCGCGCGCATCCGCGCACCCGCCACCGTTGCCCTCCCCCATGGCGTCCCTCCCCGTTCTAAATGCGCGCTACCGAGGAGGTCCCTCACCCCAGGTTCTTTGAGACTATTTTGTCGCCTTAAGCTGCTGGTGCGTTTTAAGATAGAAGCTGCGCCTACAGCCGCCGCCGCCGCCGCCGCTGCCGCCGCAGCGGCGCGGTTCTTAAGGTTGCGCTTCCGTTGGTCGCTCCTCCGCGCATGCCCATCCGCCCGGTCCGCCCCTCCATCTCTCCCCCATTCCGCCCCTGTTGTTCGCGCCCCAACATTCCCCCCTTCTGACGCGCGAGAAACTAATACAACGCGGCCTTTCCCGCTTCTTCCGCCACTGATTTCCCTGCTTCTTCCGCCACTGATATCCCCGCTTCTTCCGCAAGTGCCAATCGCTACGGTGCTGGTACCTTCCGCCCCGCGCCTGCTACCTCCTACCGCCTTCAGAGTATCCCCGTTATTGTCCTCTTCGCTTTCCGACGACGACAGGTCCGACCAAGACAGCGACCGCCTACGCAACACCGCTTTCCCGTTACAATCCTTCCCGTTAAAAGAGCCATCTCTGCCTGCTCCATACCCACCGCCTCTACCGCTGCCGGTCGGTGTGGGAAGCGGTGGGAGTCGCGGAAAACGCGCTTCGACAGCCGCCTCTTCCGCGGCGCACTCGTCTTCCTCCGACTCCTCGCACGACCACAGAAAGCGGCGCGTCGTGGCGGCGGCTGCGGCAGCGGACGGCGTGAAAGGCGTCGCCGGGACAGCACGCGGCGTCGCTCGCGGCGCAGCGGGAGTTGCGGGCTGAGACATGCTTGCTCCCCCGCGGAAATTCTGCTGCCCCTGCGACGAAGTCGACCTTCCTGTGGAAGGTTCTGCGAAGCTGCTCGTGCGGCTGAACTCACCGAACATCTGATCCATCTCGTTCGTCTCGAAATCGCTGTTGCTGCTGGATGCGTCGCCGGTGGCGTCGCCGAGATCGTCGCCGAAGTCGTCGCAGTCGTCGCACACGGGTTCGTCGATGTCTCCGTCGTCGTCGTCGGCGGCGTAGTCATCGTCGTCGTCGCGGTCAGCGCGTCGTCGGCGTGCGACCGTGGCGATTCCGCGCCTCGAGCTTCCCTGCGAATCAGGAACCGCTAGAAACCATTCCGCTGGCCTCGTTGGAGCTGCAACGACGTGTTGCTTCGCGAGAACCGATTCGGCTTTCGCCAAAGAGAATGTTACTGTGTTACCAGCGGATTGGGTCATTTGAATCACTGGGTACGATACTCGCCGTTTTTCCACCGATCGTTTTTTCCGAACCCATCTCTTTTGCGAAACAAGATCGTTCGCGGTACGGCAAGACTCGCTTACGCGATAGTCCCCCAACTCGGGGTCGTCCTGGTTCAGAGTATCTAGACGGAGCGGCTGCAGCTTTAATCTACAGCTCTGCATGCGCTGTTGCACGCTGGTCGCCATGCCCGTAAATTCCGCCGTCAGTTGCGGCGAAACAATTACAAAAAGACAGCAATGAAGAACAAAAACCGTGATCAAGGCAGAGGTCACGACTCGCGACAGTTCTGAACCGCACTCCCGAGAACTGGAGAGGAAGAAAATGCGGTGATCAGGAAGACGGAACAATGGCCGTCATTTCAGCCATATCAATCAATCAAGAAAGGGAAGCACTTTCCAAATACAGTAGGATGAGGATGAGAACATCTTTGTGGGCTTGCATTCGGCCCGCAGTTGCTTCTTTGTGCAATGTGCAACTTTCATTCCGCACTCGGTGTAGTGGCAATCATCCTCCTGTTGATCAAGACCTCCTCTGCCTGGGCGGTGCGCCCCCCTGCAGTTGCTGCTGCTGCTGCCGCCGCTGCAGCTGCTGCCGTTACCTCGCTACCTCACTGTATTTTGCAGGGAAAGTGGGCCCTTGACACCTCCAGTGCTGACACTTTTCTGCATTCAAGTGCTAAGTGTTGTATTTTCTACAGACGAAGATCTCACCTGATGTGGAAAGCAGCTGTGACCCGAGTCTGAAACGAGCCCGAACATGCCGCACCATCCACATGTGAATGGGCTCTAGACTAGACGCACAAAAGAAAAGTCAAGGGAGAGAAGTGGGTCGAACATTGAGCAACTTGCTCCACAGTCGTAACTGACAAGGAGAACGACTCGCTCCGTTCTTGTACGGTATCGAAGTGGTTTCGTATGGAAGAAACTAGCGAAAGTGACAAGGAGAACCAACGACGCGGATTGGTGGTCAATGCTGCAGACACCCGCACCACACTGGTGTGAGATGGCGTTCCTGAGATGGGGCCCCATCCGAATTTCACCATGCTACAGTTCACAGAGCACGTGCCTGTGGCATGGCCGCAAAGGGGTGGGTGAATGTGGACGTCGCATGAGTCGGGAGCTGATGGTCGTGCGATTTTTCCGCCCGTCAACTTCCCTGACGTCAAACGTCAGAACGACTGTCGTTTTTTATTGTCACGGAACCAGTCGTGACTGGTTTGGAATTGGAGCACTTTTGCGAGGCTTGGTTGGAATTGGCCATTAAAACTTGTCGCATGAACGTTGAGTACAAAAGCATGTGATTGCTTGACCCAAATCTTTCATGTTTTTCGCCCTAGGCGACTCTTGTCGCCAGGCACGTGTGGTGGGTGTGACCAGAATCGAATTATGCCACGCTGGACCAATGTTGTTGCACCGACCATAGCAATCGATGGGGCCCCATCTCAGGAACGCCATCTGAGAGTGGGCAGTGGGCACTGCGCACAATGCCAATTTGACGCGACATGGACCCAGATCCGGATCCAGGCCACACATGTTTCGTGGTTCGACGTCTGTGGCATGGCAGTCATCCGAAGCTGCTAAGCCCGCTGTTGAGCTCACGTGAACGACATAGTATACATATCAATGCCAAAGTACGGCTTGAATCATAAACAGAGATACTTGAGATATTCATGTTAATCTTTCTGCATGGCTAAGAGAAACGGATATATTTATATTCACGAATTAACATTATACAGGTAAAATAGATGCTTTGATATATAGACAGATAGTTGTATAAACGAATGCCATTATGTTGAATACTAGGTCCAAACATAATTCCTATTATTGTTTCAAAAGGCTTATTGCCTTCTTCTACGATCGCCCAATGTTCTAGCGGATACTGATACAGTAACGCGTATGTGGCTGTTTGGTGGCTGGGCTGGGCTGGCTAGAACGCTGATAGGTTTTCCCCCACCCGCCTCTTTTCCCTCCCTCTCTCTCCAGGTGCCAGTTTTGCTGCTCATGTGGAACTTCGGTTCGGCATTCTCCTTGTTGCCAGTTGCCATCTCCCAGGTTCCAGTTTTGCCACTTCCCATCAGCCTTGCGACCTGAGTTCAGTTCAGACAGACCGGAACCTTGGAAGTTGGGAGTTTCAAGACACTGTTGTTCTGGCACCTGTTTTTCCGTACACCCCACCAACACCCACTGCCTGTGCAGCTGTCTGTTTTGGCAATCCTAAGGCCGCTAAGGTTTTAGGACAGTTTGAGCAGAAGTTTATATGGTCTGCGCACGAGATTACGGCCTGGTTTAGCTCTAACGTATATTTATTCTTACCTAAGTTCTACGTTCTCGGATTGTTTAGCATTAACGTGTATAGCTTACTATATAGGTAAGCTGCAAGCATAGGTACGATCATTTCCCGCATGCTTTTTACCATGTAGAAGTCGCGCTCGAACGAGATGCAATAGTCGAACGAGAACGGCGTATTTTCGGGTTAAGCGTCAGTTGACGAGATGCAATTTGGCTTTAAGCGGCGCCGACAGGGATATGAACGTTGGACACGTGGCAGTGGGGATGATGCATGAAGGGTGTCGGGACTGACTCTCAAGGTCGCGGGTTCGAATCTCAGCAAAGCTACTAGATGCCTCAGGTTCGCGGTCAGGCTGGGCAAGCCGCCCTGAGAGGCGAAGCTCCGTACGCTAACGGCATAAGTGACTTCCAGCAACAGCAGCAGCCAAGGCTACAGTCGAATCAGCCTATAACGAATCAACAGCGACAGTATGCGGGACAGCACCAGCAGCAGCAGCTCAATCAGCAGCCGCGCGGCAGAGGGGGTTCCGCCGGTCCCCTCCAACCCGGCGGAGTCGGACATGCTGTAACGCAGCAGGGTTACAACCATGCGCCGTACGGTTACATCGACGAGTACGCAGCTGACGGGGACGCGTACCCGGATTACGAGGAAGAGGTGGGCGGGAGCGGGAGAAAAGCGCGGCCAGGGCCAGCAGGGCTTGCACCGACCGGCGGAATGGGGGGAACGGCCGGAAGGGGGGTATTGGGGGGAAGGGGGGAATCGGGAGGAAGAACGGGGCCCATGGGGGGGGCGCGGGGTAGGGGGAGAGGCGGGGGAGGGGGAGGGGGAGGCGGAGTGGCGCAACAAGGCGTTCCGCAAGTAGGGGGAGCGCAGAGGCAGCAAGCGCCGCCGCCGCCGCAGCAGCAGCAGCAGCAGCAGCAGCAGTACGCGCAGCAGAAGCCGCTGCGACAAGCACAGCATATGCCGCCGCAGCAGCAGCCGCCGCCGCAGCAGCAGCGGGAGGAGGACGACAGTTCAGAAGTATCTGTCCAGTTACACCTGCCCCCATTAGCCCAGCGGCAATCCCAAGCAATGCAGCAGCAAATGCTGCTACAACAACAGCAGCAGCAGCAACAGGACGACAGTTCAGAAGTATCTGTGCAGTTACACCTGCCGCCACTAGCCCAGCGGCAATCGCAAGCAATGCAGCAGCAGCTGCTACAACAACAACAGCAGCAACAGAAGCTGCAACAGCAACAGGACGACGACTCAGATGTACCTGTTCAGTTGCACCTACCCCCGTTGGGCCAGCGTCAATCTCAAGCGGTGCAACAGCAGCAGCTGCAGCAACAACAGCAGGACGATACGTCAGATCTACCCGTCCAGTTATACCTGCCTCCACTAGCCCAGCGCCAATCCCAAGCAATGCAGCAGCAGCTGCAATTACAACAACAGCAGCAGCAGCAGCAGCAGCAACAACAGCAGGACGACGATTCAGATCTAC